AGATGGCTGCGAAGGTCGGCGCCGCGCAAGACGACGCCGCGGAGGAGCCTTTTGCAATCTTTCTTGGTATAGGGTTTATAGGGTTTGGGGTTTAGGGTTTCAAACGCGATACGGATTCAGGCTTGAGGTTTGAGTGCGTTGCTGCTTTCTAGAAGGGATCTCCAAATAGCTAATCTCTTGCTTGCCTGATGTCACAGTTTTTTAAACATCAGGTGCAGGTCAGGTCGGGCAAGACTGTTTTCTCATGTTCTCTGTGATCGTGCTCGCGTTTTGCACCGACGCCGGAGCTGGGGATCCATGGAGTGGGTGGTCCGGCTGAGCGCGTGCTTTGACAACTTGTCTTTTTGTGGGTCGTTCGGGGGTTCGGCGGCCACTGTTCAGGAGGACAGTCTGCTGACTGGCGACCAGGCACCCTGGCAGACATGGTTTGAGTTCTCATACTTACCTTGCCGGCCATGGCCCAATATGAAGCATCAGTATCGGCAATCTACGGCACACCGAAACTCCAGTCCCCGACGCCCTCAAACTTGGAAGGCCAGACACTCATGCCCCAGACTCTAAGCCCGAAGCCCCAAAACCCGAAATGCCGAGGCTTCCGAACGGGCCCCAAATCCGTAGAACCCTTATATACTTATATCACAGCCTTATCCACCCTCCAAGACCCTCCTTCCCAGAGAAAGCCTATGGCCCCCATGGAGCCTGAATAAGACCATGCAAGAACCCTGTGGAAACCCTGTGTAACCTTCAGTCTAAACCCTGAACCCTAAACCCTGAACCCTGTAGAAACCCTGTGCAACCCCCGAAGCCCCTTCCAAGCCCAGGAAGTTGCAAAGCAGCCGGCCGGCCCGGACAGCTCTGCAAGACAAAGAACTTGACAAAAAAAAAGAGGGGGGCTGGAGCAGAGTTTAGGATTGAGGGTTTAGTGTTAGTTCCCTTAGGGCTTCATGAGGGTTTAAGGCTAAGGCTAAGGGTTTTTTAGAGGGGTTTGGGCGTTTGGATTTTCCGAGCTTTTGCTGCGTTAAGCTTTGGGATTCTGGCCCCTGGAGATGTATCGTACCTTGCAAAATGCCCCTAAACCCTAAACCCTAAACCCTAAACCCTAAACCCTAAACCCCAGAAGCCCTAGCCCTAAACCCTACGCCTTGAGCCGAAATCCAGCACCCCTCGATCACAGACCCTTAAGCCTAAAGCCCAAGCTGAACTCTCACAACCCTGGAACCCTAAACGTCAAACCCCCTAGGCCGTAGTCCAAGCCCCCCCCCCAGCCCCAAACCGTAACATAGGGGCCTTAATAATTACCTATATGATTTTTGGGGTTCCTTCTGATAACTATACTTTAAAGGACGCCCGAACCCCGGTCTACTTAAGGCCCCTACATCATAAGCCCGAAGCCTTCTGAAGCTCGAAGTTAAAAAATCTTAGGTCCTTTCAACCCTGGAAAGCTTTGACGCCATGAGATATAGAGCGGTAATGTGGGGGCCTTAATAGTTAGAAAAAGGCAAACCCAGAGGCCGGACCCCGTAACCCTTTCTGGGCTTTCGGGATTCGGGTTTAGGTCAGGGCTTAGCCACCATGGGACCCAAGGAGCCTGCAGTATGGGTTTTTGACCTTCAGGGTGTTTGGGCAATGGGCTTAGGCATCCTACATCCCAAACCGCCCAAACCCTAAACCCTTATAGAAACCAGTCGCAGCCCTGTGGAAAACCTCACAAGGCCCCGCAAATTCTCGTAGAAGCCCTCCAAGAAACCTTTGTCAAGCCCCAACCCTCCATGGAGTGGGGCCTTGAGCCGCGCAGGTCCTGATGGGGGCTGTGGCCTGCCGGCTGGTGATGCTGGACAAGCCACAGGCTACGAAGGGTTCTGCATGTAGAATCTGAATACTTGGTAATGCTTTCCCTGTTAGTGTAAGAATGTATGATGTCCGCACATTCCATCCCCCTATGTTATGGGTTTCACAACGTTTTGTAGAGTTGCTGCTTTTCGAGTGAAGAGCCTTAGCCTTAGGGTCTGGGGTTCTTCAAGCCCTTGAAGACCCTCTGGCCTGCAAAGCTCTAGAACAAAGGTTCGCTTGAGGGTTGAAGTTAGGGGTTCAGGGTCGGGCTGCGGATTAAAACGTTGCGGATTTGGGGAGTGCGCTTTGATTTTGGTGACTTTCGGGCGGCATTCTTAAATGCGAAGTCCTCAAAAGACCTGAGCCCTAAATTGCCCTAAACCCGGCCCAAACCCGTAGCGTTTGGGCGTATTGGCTTTGGAGTTGGATTTCAGGTGTTTATCGTCCGCCGCTTCAAAGCCTACGGAAAGTTGAAACCCTGCGACCTTGAATCCCAGCATCCTAAACCTAGTACATTACCCCTAAACCCTAAACAACCCCACAGCCCCACTTCTAAACCCTGCAATCCCCAACTTAAATCTCTTTCCAACGGTTCGGGGTTCAGGCAAAGCGAGACCTAGGCCCTAGGTCCACCAAGACCGAAGCCCTTACACCTCAACCCAAACGCTGAGCCCCGAAACTGTAGACCCTAAACCCCGAACCCCCACACCCTATCCTAAAACTGTGACGACGCAGCGAGTGAATTTCTGGACATTCCGTAGTTTAGAAAAAGACTGTGCTGCCCTTTAAAAAGTCTGAAGTCCCATAAATTCCTCAATTATCATGGTATCTGAATGTGAGAGCTCATTGGAGCAAACCCTCAAAAAGGAGCCCTCAACACCAAGACGTAAGAGAGGCCCTAAATCACAAACCCCAAATCCTACATCCTACCAATAGTTCCACCCTGTAAAGCCCTCATGGTCCCATCAAGGAAAACTCTCTCTGTGGGTTTTTACTTTTAAACCTCCCCTTTAAACCCTACCCCTTTAAACACTCCAAAAATGATACAGCTTCAGAAGCCACGAGGAGCTAACCCAATGATTTGCCCAATTGGGGACAAGCCCATTCACCCATTAACCCGATGATCTGCCCAAGTGGGGATGGTTTGCACAAACCCAGTAAGCCATTAACCTAACGATTTGCCCAAGTGGGGATGGACCCTGCTCCCAAGTTCATTTGGCCAGAATGATTGGGTTAATGGGTTAATGGGTTGGGGCCTCCCAAGTCCATGTTGCCAGCATGATGGGGTTAGTGGGTTAATGGGTGGGGGCAACTGGTGCGTTTCAAAACAGAGACATGGTTTCGACACAGACCAGGATACGTGCAACGGACAAGTACACCACGACACCCAAAACACGAACATGCAAACACGCAGGGGGTGGAGCGATAACTACCTACCCGTTTAGAGAGAGAGAGAGAGAGAGATATATATATATATATATATGGACACCCCCCCCCCATGACCTACCTCGGCTTCTTTTTCATGGCTGATCTGAAGTCATGTCTCCTTACAACGTCGTGCCTACTCATATCCGCTTTAATATACCCACAAGCAAGAAACAGTGCAAGAGATCACAC